ATTTACAGAATAAAGTCAACACAAATCTATTCATATTTTTCAATAGTTTCAAGAATTTTTTTACCAATAACTCTTACGACCAGAAATCAATTAAAAACACCTGTAGAGTCATTCTGTTGATTTTGTATTTTCTCTGGAAGATTGGTAGCTGCATAAATATATGTAGAAAAAATTTGTATATGTTATTTATACTAATGTAACCGACCATAGCTATAACCACATAATATGTAGTTCAAATTGAAATATTTTAGGAGACATTAGTTTTCTCATTTCTTATGTTACTGCTAGATTTAATTAGCACAAGCTGGACTTTGCCTTTCATCGAATGTTACATTTTGTTCAATTTATATTTATTCGATGAATAAAGCCATTATTATTATTATTATTTTGGCCTGGTCAGGCCTTATCCCCCGAAGCCCCGATACATTCGGGAAGACGCGGCAGCATTATCAACCAACGACCACTCCCCACACCGTCGGGTAAGTGATCATTGGGTCCGAGAATCATGTGTCCTGAGCAAGCGTAGTGAGCCAAGAATGACAGCCTTCTGCATCTGTCCGGCTAAGATTTCTGCCTTAGTGCGGCAAGCCGGTATGATTTTAAGATTCGAGAGTAGCGGAGGCATCATTCCACTTCAATAATCAGAACAACCATCTTGACAGAGTGATCTGGATAGAGTCTGCGGAGGAGAAAAAAAAATCTCGATATTTTATCCATTCTTCCTCCTCTTTTCGGACGATATACGTCTCATCAGGAGCTGAAAAGTCCACGACAAATATCGTCTTGCTCTGCGGTGGTCGAGAAGGACCACATCAGGTTCTTTAGCGTGTATGAGCTTGAGTGTGGGGAACGAATAGTTCCAATAAATTCGGCACTTCTTGTTCCCCACAACGGATTCAATATCCCCCGGAGCGTAGGGCAACACCGGTATTTTGTCATTATTATTATTATTATACGTTTCTTGGCTTTCTACTCCCCAATTTTCATATAAAAATGTGAGAATTAAGTTCAAAATAAGATGTGAAGATGTGTGAATTTTACATAGAAGTTACTTTCAGGTAAAAGCTGGAACAATAACAAAATCACTTTTCCTATTCTGTTCGTTAGGAATATAAACAAATATTATTCATGAATGGCATGAAGTATTATGTAATATTTATTTAACGCATCTCAAAAAGATGGAAAGATGGTATATCGGTAGGTATATCTAAAAATAAAATAATGTGACATGACACATCTTTTTTGTTGCAGCTAGACTCCATGATTCTTCTCAATAATAAATACTTACATATTCAGCAATGTTTAATTATTCAACATTCATGTGTTATACCGGTTCTTCAAGTTATAAATGCAATAACATTATTGTATAAAGGAATTGAACTGTACATTGAGATTTTTTTCTTGTCGTATTACTCTTTCATAATAATACTTCATGATATTTATTGACTATATTTAATTTTGAGATTTCCTTACAGTTCCATATATTATGGTGTCAGAGATATTAATCAATTGTGATGATTTGAAACCCATGTTTCTTGTTGTACTTCATTCCAAAACATATTAGAGAAAATGTCAAATTCTTTCAGTCATAAACTACAGACAAATATTTGAACTAAATCAAGGTGAGTAATTGTTTCGCTTGGTTTCCGGGTTTTGCCGTGTTCTTCTTTGGTTACAATCTCCAAACGTTTCAACTACAACTGTGGCAGTCATCTTCAGTGGCAGTCATCTTCAGTGGCGTGGTCGAAGTACTCTTCTCGACGTGTTATTCATGATGAAGAATTTCAAAAACGAGGTTTTAACGATGAAAGAGAATAAGAATGTTTCCTACTTCATCACCAAAATCAAACAATCGTTCATACTGAAGAAAACAGAATTGAAAATGTCTATGTCTTTTTCCATTTTTATCTGTAACTAACGTTACTGTAGTATCGTCCTATAAGGAATATTTCAAACTTATACTTTAAATAGTTCAATGTATGTATAAGTTTGAAAAAGTCCTTATAGGACGATACTGCAGTAACCTTAGTTACAAATAAAAGTGGTAAAAAACATAGAAAGTTTCAATTCTCTTTCCTTCATTATGATTTCCTACTACGTAGTAGTAGTAGGCTACATCCATCAATTAATTGTTCATGCAGTTGCAGTTTCGTAAGAATATATCATATATCCCATCAACCGATTTTCTGGAGTCTTTGAAGTCCACTAGATACTCGTTAGGGCAACAAGAGGATTGTTTCGAATTCTTGGGTTCTTGTTAAATACTCTTCTTGAGCAGGAAAATAGCAGACCGTTCTGAATTGAATGATTCCCTACAGTCTTTCTCGTCTTTTGTTTGTAGATCTTTTGCTGGTAAAATCATCACTTGTTTACTTTGTAGTAAATATTCAAGAGTTATCAAAACCTATTTGACTGGAACTTCAACTGGCGTTTCCTAATATGACTGATAACCAGTCCGTTATCAAATCACTTGATGAAGCTACTGTGCTAGCGAAATATGTTGTATAAGTTTGAAGGTGATTGACAATGTTTCGTGATGAATTTCACTAGTTCGGACTTCCATTGTCTACTATATGAAATGATTTGAAATCCCTGAAACAAGTAAAAAAGAATAATTAAAAAAGAATAGTTGAAAATAACAATTATATTAAGCAACAATAAACCTGAAATGAAATGATAGTGATTTTCATTTTACTTTTCGAGATCTATCAACTCCGAGAATAACTCTCCTCCCCAATCAAATATTATGTTACCTCAACAGCTGTTCAGATAATAACATTTTGTAACTTTTCAGTTCATTCTACTAGATCTCAAATCTATTTCAAGCTTATGGTTTCTCCTATCGTAGATTATCTAGTCGCCGATTCGAAACAAACTTAAGATTCAGATACGTTTAATGTTTGCTTTGGCAAAACAAAAACAAATGTGATGTCACATTGATTTTCAGGTCATTTATTCAGTAACCCAATTTTATATGTTGGAAATGATATTTCTGATATTACTAATAACACCCTCTGATCAATTGAAATTGATATTCTCTTATTAGTTTTCTGAAGTGAAAAATATGAAATATTCAATTCAACGTTTTCATGAAAATAACTGTTTTGATTGTGAATATGTTCATTTAAAATTGTTTCAATGACGAACTCAATTTATGACGTTTTTCGACACAATTATTATTTTCCGAATTATCTCATTTAACTTCTTCAGTTGCATCACCTATTCACTTCGACAAAGATTGCAAATATAGGTATCCTGTTTCTCAAAAAATGACAGTTGAAGTCTGAATGACTGATTTACGCGGGAAAATGCAAACTCATACTATTAGCAAATACTTTCAGAATCCTAGGGAACACTGCTTGAAGGTTTCTTACTTGAATTTCAGAGATAGTAATGATATTTTAAACAATAGAAATCAGCAGAAAATCTAACAGTCCGCAGAAATTGAACTTTCTATCCAGAGAATTATTTACATGCTCATTGAATTCATAAAGTAGGTACTGTTTCAAATATTATGTTCCTAGTGTACATATGCTGAAAAGAGATATGTTGACAAAAAGGGATCATACTATAATAGTCATACAGTTCAGTGCAACAACGAATTAATTATGAAAATAAATAAAGTTTGTTTCAGCTTCATAATTAATGTCATATTTCATCTCTACTATAATTTTGTACTATTTTTATCATCCAGGCAATTATTTTACATTTTAACTCCCAAAAGTTTTTTTCTTTACAGATAAATTTTGGTTTTCATTAGGTTATTGTCTTTTTCAAGTTCAATTTCTAGATATTATTTTAACTTTTCATCATCCCATCGGAATATATGTGATGGAACACACATAACAAATTTTCTCTGATCTGCAAGTAGCTTCATCGGACCACAACCTGTCATTGGCATTGCTTTAAGTTTTGCTAAACAAACATTGAACACCTGGATGGCAGGCAGATTTAAAGACTTCTTCCAGGATTGGCTCACTCCAAGTCGTTCATTCACCCTTCGAAGCTTGAAACCAAACAGTTGTTGAACAACAGTTGGGATGAACTACGATGTCTAACAGGCCTCCTTACAAGTCACTGTCGTTTGAATCATCATATGTAGAGATTCAGACCTTCGGAAGACAGTGTGTGTCGCCTCTGTTTGGAAAATGAAACAGCAGAGCATATACTTTGTGCCTGCCCCCCTGCAGACCGAATCAGGTTTTCAGAGTTTGGTAGAACCACACTCTCACCATCTGACCTGAAAGATCACTCACCATATAAACTAATCGGCTTCGTCGAAAAGCTGGGTTCATTTAGTCGATTTTGAATATGTGTGAGCCACAATAAACCCTTGCGGGTTGCGGTGGAGGGTCGAATAGACCCACTAACTTTTGACCTAATCTAACCTATATGTGATGGAATCGGTCGATACTTAATGAGAATTCATAACGTATTCAAGAAACAATTAATCGTGAGATTTTCACAAAATCGTTTTACAAAAACCCAACAGGTGTTTCGCTATCCAATAGCTTCTTCAGGCAGTATAGACAGTCTATACAGTATACTCACTTTTTTACTGGCACAGAAAACCGAATCGCGTAGTAGTATCTTTGACATTTTTTTGTAGTGAAAAGTTAGAGTAATCTCTTTTAGCACATGGAACTCAGACCATTCAATATTTTCTAAAGCCTCAAAAGTACAGTATATTCGACCTGATTTGATATCATTTCATTCTCTAGTTCAAAGTACCATCAATAAAAGCAATGCAATTAGACATGTATATTTTTCGACAAAATCAATCAAATTCCATATCGAACCACCGTAGCAAAATCTGTATTGAAAAGATGGCGCAAAAAATCCTACAATTTCCTGTTTGGTGCGTCTGAACATAATAACTATTTCATTTCATAAATACACCTCAAGAATCATTGACCCTTTGTTTCTTCGTTCGTTACAACGACTCGCATTTCTCAAACACTTCACGGTTGCTGGCATTACAGACACGCTTTTGCTTACAGATAATCAGAACCGAGAAGGAGAGAGCGTAACCGTGATAACTGGGGGCGAGACTCTCTCTGCCTTCGAAGAAGGCTTGGCGGATGACGACTCCTGGGTGGAGAACCTAAGCTACGAAGACGACGAAGATGAATTCGCTACAAACTCTCCTACTGATGACTCCTCCTCCGGGGAGGAAGTCACTCTCACTTGTTCGGCAGCCATAGATCAGGAGGAAGATCTCAGAGGATACCATCGAACTGCAATTGACTTCACGTTACATACAATCGTCGAGGAAAGTTGTGAAGAAAGTGAAGTAGAACAAAATGCCCCTAAGAAGAAGGAAAGGCCGGCCTCTGCCACTGACTTGGAGAAATATTTTTTCTTTGGCCTTGGTGACGGTACTATACCCTCCATCAACTCGAACAGAGAGGATGCCTTCTCAGAAACTAGCAGCATTTACAGCGAGGGTATGGAATCCCTCGGCGGAGATGAAACCATTCAGCAGAATGACAACTCCGATCCTGCTGAACTGGCTTCCTCCAGACTGGAAAAATACTTCTTGAGCGGTTTTATGGGCTTCACGGCTGAAAGGAGAGATTCCGATGGTAGCGTTGGAAGCGATAGTGAGGGTAGGCCAAGTCCCGAACAGAGAAGGAAACGATTGGTTAGAGCTAGAGGTACTGGTCGATCACATTCATCGTCATTGGACAATCTCGATAATGCTGGCAATGAACAGGTAGCCGAAACTCAGCTAAATTCTGAAGATTCCTCCAGCTCCGATTCAGAAATTTACGATGAGATTAGCAGTTTTGAAAAATCTGATGGCCAGTTCGATACGGTCAAACGAAAAAAAGGTAAGAAACATAAAAATTCCACGTCTCCTGCTGAAGAACCTAAAAACTTGGAAACAACTCGGGAAGTGGAAGAAAAAGATAGTGAATCAGAAGAAGACGGCCAGAAAACACCGCAACCAGAGATCTCCCCGACACCTTCGAATCTTACCACTACGAAAAACCAACAGAGCAGAGATAGCGGATTCATAGGAAGCTGTGATGATCTGCTTAGAGAGCAGAGGGATAACACCACGCCCGAAGTACCTCCTGGAAAAACCGAACTAAAACTTGATCTTGAAAACATCGCAGAAGAGAAGAAATTGGAAGAAATAATCGCTTCAACGTCAGCTCCTCCAGCCACGTCACTCACACGGAAAGACAGCTTTAACAATTGGAGCTCCGACGAAGAAACCAACCTCATGATGAGCAAGATGAGGCAGTTCTTCAAGACGATGGTTGCCAACTCTCAGTTGAGTTCATCGTCGAAACCAACAACACCGACATTAAGTTCACGATTGTCTCCCAAACCATTGCCAAGTCCACGTACCAAAAATCGTTCAAAACCTCCTCAACTCGTATATTTTGAAAACGAGCTGACAAGATTGATGAAAACTGTTCCAGGAATCAGAGACGACCAGGTTAAAGAAATTGTCGAATACCTGAGTAGCGAAGATACTTGGAGCGATTCGTACGACTCCTCAGATTACACGAGCTCAGATTTGGAAGTGACAACCACAAAGTCAGTTCTACAGCAACAAATATCTGATAGCTGCAAACAGATTATCAACAAGTTCGACACCAGTGTCGATGATGAAGGCGATGAAGGTGATGGTGGGATTGTGGATGAAACACATGGATTGAACAAAGAAACATCTTTCGTTTATCAGAAGTTGGTGGCGTCGTTTGAAAAAATGGCTACAGGGGATAACGATGCTGAAGCCGTTCCAAATCTAGCACCCCACAGTTCTCCTCCGCTAATAGCGAAAGTGATGCATCACATAGGAAGCCGCTTGGTGGCACTGATGCACGAGGTGTCAAGCGGGGAGAGTCATAAAAGTAACTCGCCCAAGACAAAACACTACCACAGACGACTGCAGCACAAGCTGTCATCAGCTTCTAGTACAACGACGGAGGATGACTGCCCAGAGGGCAGTGTTGATCACTTCGGAGGGTTCGAGGAGAACCTCACTCCGTACAACTTGCTTCCAAGAAGCAGATCTCATGATTTATTACTTAGTGAGGCAAAAACTTTGCATCAATCATCGGGAGGTGTATCGGATATTGTGGAGGAACGAGAAGCTAGTGATTGTGAACGGTTCAGTTGGCGAGGCAGCTTCGAGTCTGCCTTGTTGGCTACTGACTCTAGGAATAAACTGTCGTTGTTAGGAGGTGAAGCGTCAGCTTCAGCTTCTGCTCTGGCTATCGCCGCGAAACGCCGATCAGCAGGTGATTTGTTATTCAGTCATAAAAGTTTGAGCCGGGAACAACTTGATAGAGTGCGAAGTTGTGGGAGTATCGGGGGTGCTAACAGTGAGGACAAGTTATGGGTGGCTTCAGCGATAAGGCCGAACAGAAGAAGGTCTAGTGTCCCGGACGCCTCTTGCGGATCAGGTGGGTCTGCCGATGGTGAGGATGAAGACGAAGAAATGGAGAGTCGTTCGACTTTGCCTAGGAGTTTACAAAGTGGTGCGCCTACAACTAACTCCCTTCCGCGACTTCCCACAAACGCTTCGTCTACTAATATGCTGAAAAGCCAGAGCATGCACCACTTCCTGCCTCAAAACGTAAAGAGTGCTCGGTACCGCCCTCCGGGTGCTAGACTTACTACGATTCCGAAACGGGCTGTTTCCGCGCCGGGTTTGCAGCCGTCACATCAGCGCCGAGGGAGGAGATCTCAGCAACCTAATGTTCCTAGTGGTGAGTATAATTTTGTAAACGTTAATAACTTCTTAAATATTTTGAATAAAACTATTTGGAATTTTCTTAATGTCAGAATTATCTATACATCAGAATCATCAAAGGTAATTGATGATACCGCGAGTGAAGTTTCATTTCAGTACAAATATTGAATGGATTTGTTTTAATTTGTATGTCACGTTTCATGAACGATAACAACGAGTTCGATTTTTTAATTTTTTGCGAACTCTCCGATATAGAAAATTTATTTCATAACTTTTCATGAATTGCTAGACATGGCTTTGTGACGATGTTATCAAGTTCACACGAGTCTATTCAAGACCGAATAAGGATTGTATATGTAGTCAAAAATGGTTGGGTTTCGGGATCTGCCGTGGTCTTCTTTGGTTACAATCTCCAAAGGTTTCGAGTGCAACTGCGTCAGTCATCATCAGTGGAATGGTCGAAGTACTGAAGATGACTGCCATAGTTGCAGTTGAAACGTTTGTAACCAAACCAGGACCTAAAAGGCTTCCGGTGTGAATGGGCGGTAGGTGGGAAGGAGCAAACTCTCCCATATAGGAGTAATTGACGTAAAGCTCCCCATGTGAAAGAGTCCTTACGGCTTGGCTCGGGAGCAATTTTGAGTTGTAATTTTGTCGCGAAACATACTTCAGGTCCATGGCTCAGTGATTCAACAAATTTAGGTTTTCTCAATTGTGTGTTTCATCATTACGGCAGTTATTACAGATTTTCTCTGTTTAAGTTTCTGCTCACGATTTCATTAGTTGGCATATTTTTTTGGTTACTGTATTTTTAAAGTAAAAATATAAATTACCAGCTGTTGCCCGCTCTTATATTAACGTACAGCCGAAGCTACTAAACCGAGAATCTTAAAATATGCAGGAAGGTTCTTTGTATAGCGTAAAGGGAATCCGCTATCAGGAATAGCGGAAAGGGAATCAGGAATGTCCAGGAAAAATTGGGGTTCAAAGGTTGTATTGAATTTCGTCAGTTCTGGGCCCCGTGGGTACACAGGGTCTCCATCCTCCATTAAAAAACAATATACGATACTATCGAACGCAACTATCGAGCGGAACAGAAAATTCCCCTGCCTTTAGTGTATGGTCGATGTGTTTTTAGCGTGAATGTGCGTTCTCTACGGGATATTTCCCGAAACTTATCACCCGACGCAATTCTGTGCTAATAAGTGATAACTTAAAAGTTTAGTAGGTAGACAGGATTTTTTCCGTAATCAGCATAGAAAAGATATCCTGCTTTCAGAAGGTGAGTGAGTATAAAATAATAATTGTAAAATCATGATGTTTTGTTTTTATTTTATGTTTCAGTAGTAAGTGAACTCTTTAATCGATTTTCAATGATAATTTTTGAATTGCTACACTCGTAACAAAGCATTAGTATCAAAATGTGAGAAGAGTTGAAATGAACAATATAGTAAGTACATCGATTATCTCATCGATGATCGATTAAATTAGTTCTTTGTTTATTTTCAGAAAACTATCAATCATATTTCACAATATCTGCTAGATAATACTAAAGTGGAGCTGAAAAACGAAAATTTCAGTTAGACCGAAACGAAATTTAACGTTATTATAGAATATTTTCTGGTAAATTACTCATAACTAACTACAAAAACGAAAAACAATAATAACAACAGCGAATAAACTAAACACAATATCGATTTCCGACCGTTTATTATAACTATTCCGATGTCCGTGGACCGTCAAATCCTTCGATACTACAGCACTGAACGCGTTGGATGAGAATCTCATCCTAAGAGTGGCTGAAGGTCCCCGGCAACTTGGGCGGATCACGTGGTAAGAGAGCCTGGTTGTATTATTGTACTGCGATTCTTTGTTATTGATATGGCCTTGGTTTTGATAGCGTAATATGTTTCATTTTTTATGTGAATCATAAATTTTAACCTTGACACTTTAATTTTTGTTAATGTACAAATTATTTATTATTTTGATGTGAAACATCTATTGCCGCACGTAAAACCGATTGCTGGCGTGGCGACGGGTCGCCATGCGCAGGCAACCCTCACAACACTCGGATACCTATAGTGTAAACAGTTGTGTTTACTACAGTATACATAACCTGTATTTTACTAAATCCAGCCTTCTGGAAAGAAGGCAAAATCACACTATCAAATCAGTAAGTTAAAAATATTTTTATATTTTATAATTAAAGTGTGCATTTATTTGTGCAATAGGCCCGCGTATATTTGGTATATTCATTGATTAGAAATGTATAATCTTCAATTCAGATTGAAATTTCAGACAAAACTAGTTTCTTTACTTGAAAAGGAAATATTTTCAGGAGAGTTATGTTTTTTGGAAAAAAAGCTTTCGGCTTTCTACTTCACCTTCTTTAAACAAAAGAAGAAACAAAAAACACTTCAATAGAAATTATTAAGAAACTAGAAGAAAATACCTTTTCGAAACTACTTTCACTTGAAAATTGATTTACATGAAAAAAAAACATATGAAACAACTACTTTCATATGAATATTGAATGACAAGAAAATCATTCAGTTTATACTACAAACATTCGTTATGGAATGAAAACAGATATCAATCATAGGAACGTTACACGGTTTGATATTATTGATAAAAAAGTCACTTACATGGAACACTATCGTCCTCAATGGTGTACTTCGAAGTTTCCGGACAATACAATCTCTTGTCACCTTATCAGCTGCGTTGTATATAAAATTACTAGACAAAGAATTCTTATAATATTTTCCAATGATGCAGAAGTACAAAGCCATGAAGCTTCTTCCAAAAATCACTACTTGACGATAAAATTTCATGATAAGAACCTTGACTTGCGATACATGCATCAAGTCTTCTCTTCATCGAGTGCCGTACACGTTCAAAAACTCCTGGAATGTTGCGTATGACATTAGAATTATGCATAATTATATTTCTCAAGTAAAGTTCATCGACAACTGGTTAGGACATCCCCAAAATAAATAATCCAGAGGGTTCAAGTCTGAAGATCTAGGTGGCCAAAGTTGAGGTCCCCCACGACCCATCCACTGAAATGAGCAGGTGCCACGTTGTGCATAAACAACATATTTCGTCTCACTAGCAAAGGTGCATCTTCTGACAATTCCGACAATGTGTCTTCTAGAAATTGTCTATACTGCCCATGAGATGATCATTGAAAATTCCCGCCTAGACGTTCACCGAAAATACAGTAGCACAGGGATTCTCGTAGGTCCAAGAATGACTGTTGTGAAAGTTTATGATGTCATCCTTTGAAAAACTTGCCTCATGTGTGAATAAAACTTCATAAGTGAAATTGGGAGTTTGTACATTCTTTGAAGGAATCACTGACAAAAATCCAATCGTTTAGGAAAATCTCGCGGTAAAAGTTCCTGCACCCGTTGCTTGTAGTATGGATACAAAAAATTTGTATGCAAAATCTTCAGGTCATAATGATCTCCTGAGGACGCTAACTTGGTTAGCGAAACGCGCGTCGAGAAACCGTAATTTTTGTTCTGGTGTTGGGAAAGTATTTTCAAAAGATTCCTACAAGCAGTGTCGTGTTTGAATCATTTTTCACTTTACAAATTAATGTCATTTTGGTAATAATGTTATTTCAACCATGCTGAGTTTGACAGGTAATTAATTCAAAAGTAAATAATTTGTATCCCTTATTTCAATACATACTCAATTTTCACTTCGATTCAAAAATGTTTAAAAATAAAAATCATTTTAGGAATCACACGTCGAAAGGTAGGACCTTATTGGTCCCCTCAGCTCGCATAAGTTTAAACTTTTGAGGGTTGTCATTCGTAGGGTTGCATCTCACACTGGGATATCTTGAATATTACAGAATGACCTAGATCAAACAATTGAAGAAATTATTTTTTCAATTCAGTGCATTTGTATAAAAGCTTGTCTTCAAACACATTTTTCTTTGTAAAAAATTATCAAACTTGGAGAAAAACCATAAATATCAGTCAGGTAACCCTCTAGGACGCCACTGGAATTATTATCCGTAATCTAATTCCATGAAAAGGGGCCCCTTTTTACTGCTAACAAATACATCTAGTTTATTCAAATTGGCGAAAAGACTTTTGAGTTGTTAATAAATAAAT